CGTCAAATTCCATTTCCGCAGCATATTAAAAACTTCGGAGACGGGGGTGCGCGGGGGTCCGGCCGCGCCGGGCCCGTCCTGCGACTGAAGCGGGGTACGATATCCGTCACGCGGGGGAGACGGCAGGCATCCGTCTCCCCGAGGAAACAACGGTGTTGTCGCGCGCACGGGGGTCTCGCGGAGTCGCAACATATCACCGGGAATCGCGTCAAAATCGGCCATCGCTAGGCCGGGGCTATCGGGTCGGACGACTTCCTGCTCCGCCGGGGGCAGCAACAAGGGCGCGTTCCCGACGGCTCCGCTCGGTTCTAACGGCCTCTCTAATTCGTATCGCAAAAGTCGGTGTCGCATCTCGTGTAAATCCCCCTCAAGACTTAATTCCCGTAACGTCAATTCCTCTCGCGCCTGATCTACCGGCAACCTATAAATCCAGCTAAATCGCGATCGCCCTTCCGACATTATGTCGTTCGCGGAAACCGAAAAAGAGCAAAAGCAAAAAAATTTTCAGGGAACTCGCGACTACGCGTCAGTACACGCGCACGCCGAGGACTCTCCCCCCCTCCCAAGGTCACTCCTCACGCGTGTCGGAATTACCGCGCAAAACTCTAACCGCGTCACGAAAACAACACGTGAAATAATAATTACCGAACTCTAATGGCACGCAGCTAAGCGGCAGCACGAAGGACACAGAAAGATTCCGGCAACAGCGCGAACGTAAATAATTACTCGTTCGCGTCGAAAACAACTACAAAGAAATGACCGACAGCCGTACTTCACGAATGGAATGCGAGAGTCACTATGGAAAACGACAAGCACACTCCCGAAATAATGCACGCGAATTTACTCTTAGAATTTTGCACGAAGTTTCAGGTTCCTCGTAATTATCGAAATCTAATATTCGCGACACGCACAATACACTGCTGAAAGAAAGCGAATATTAACACAGACACAGAAAGCATAATCAAAATACAAGCAAGCATAAAATAAATTCGCTGCAATGGCATAAAGAATAAGCAGTACAGCACACGCAAGAATATAAAGCACGCTTCCTTGCTCTTCGCTCCACAGGGACGATCTTTAATTTTCCGTGGGCCCCACGTTGGGCGCCAAATTTGTGACCGCACTTTTCTTAAGTGTCGGACTACAAGATCCGGCTCAAGGCAACGATTACATTAACTCGTAATTACACCATAGCCAAAAACGCGAAGTTGGGCGCCAGGCACGAGCGGGCGTGCCACCCTTCGAATGATTACGCGGAATCGAAATCTAGAACGCGGTAGAGGGGCGGTTCGTAGGGTGCGGAGGAATGTGGAAGAGCAAG